TCAGTTCTTTTCACTGATTAAATCAGCAAGAGGCCAAATAACTTCCTAATTCACTCAGCTACCACATGGCACATACAGGACTCTACTCAATATCTTTAACTACAAATTCTCATCTCTTCTGTATACTTCCTATTTAATTTGGAAGGGCACCACAGAGGGACTAACCAGACTGAAGACATGGTCAAATATTGATTTTGAATCTGTTGGATGAGCAATAGAAGTACTGAATAAAGTCAATAAAATAATCTCTGGTTATGTGATTACTTATCACTTTCCAGTCTCACTGTTTAATCCTCGGTTATAGAATTAATTATCCTGGAATCACAGAACTAGTGTGTGGTAGCTGAAAACTGAGATGGAAATTTGCATGCAACGGGCAATTGAGCTGGATTTGAAACTTTGAGAAATACAGCCACCTGTTGGACATAGTCTGGTATCACACTCTGTTCACCATTTGTTTTTTAATGTTCTTTGAATGCAAAAAACTTTTTTTAATAACCAAAACATAAAAAAAAAAAGTATAATTTGTCACTATTAGAAAACATAGATGATTAAAAACAGTTGAATGTCTTATTTTGTCTGTTTGAAGAATAAATCTATTAATAATGTGCTTTCCAAGATATAGTCTGAATAAGCTGAAAAGCTTTCATCATAAGAAGAACCAATTAATAAATAATTTTTTTAAAAAAAATTATTTCCCCTCAAAATAGTAAAAGCAGGAATTTGTTATTTGTTCATTCCACTCCAGCACTGGCCTCTAGAGCAGCAGCTGGCAAATATTTTTGTAATGTTCTTCAGATAGTAAATAGTTCGGGCCTTGAAGGCCATAAGCTTCTTTCTCCTTTCCCTTTTATCCTTTTCTTTTGGAAAGTTAAGCATCTTTATTTTACTTAATAAAAATTGTATATATTTAAGGTGTACAACATGGTGTTCTGATATACATATACTTAGTGAACTAATTAATACTGTCAAGCTAATTAACATATCCATCTCCACATATTTACCTTTTTGCGTTTGTAGTGAGAACACTGAAGATCTACTCTCTCAGTAAATTTCAAGTATACAGTACAGTATTATTAACCATAGTCCCAACATTGTACATTGGATCTCTAGAATTTATTCATCCTATGTAACTGAAATATTGTACCTTTTAAGCAGTATCTTCCCATTTCCCCACCTCCCCAACAACACACAACCCCACCCCATTCCTGCCCCTGGTAACTACCATCTACTCTCTGCTTCTAAGAATTTGATTTTTTTTTAGATTCCACATGTAAGTAAAATCATGTAGTATTTGTGTTTCTGTTCCTGTCTTATTTCACTTAGCATAATGTCCTCCAGGTTTCATCCATGCAGTCACAGATGGCAGGATTTCACTTTTTTTAAGGTTGAATAATATTCCATTTTATATATACACCACAATTGTTTTTATCCATTGATCCTTGACAGACACTTAGGTTGTTTCCACATCTTGGCTATGGTGGATATGAGTTTCTATTGCAAATATTCAACTCTGCTGATTTAGCACAAAAGAAACCATATGCAAAGGGAAACAAATGTGCATAGCTTCAAGGAGAACTACAAACCACTGCTCAGTGAAATAAAAGAGGACACAAAGAAATGGAAGAACATACCATGCTCATGGATTGGAAGAATCAATATCGTGAAAATGGCCATACTGCCCAAGGTAATTTATAGATTCAATGCCATCCCCATCAAGCTACCAATGAGTTGCTTCACAGAATTGGAAAAAACTGCTTTAAAGTTCATATGGAACCAAAAAAGACCCCGCATTGCCAAGACAATCCTAAGTCAAAAGAACAAAGCTGGAGGCATCACGCTACCTGACTTCAAAGTATACTACAAGGCTACAGTAACCAAAACAGCATGATATGGGTACCAAAACAGAGATATAGACCAATGGAACAGAGCAGAGTCCTCAGAAATAATACCACACATCTACAGCCATCTGATCTTTGACAAACCTGAGAAAAACAAGAAATGGAGAAAGGATTCCCTATTTAATAAATGGTACTGGGAAAATTGGCTAGCCATAAGTAGAAAGCTGAAACTGGATCCTTTCCTTACTCCTTATATGAAAATTAATTCAAGATGGATTAGAGACTTAAATGTTAGACCTAATACCATAAGAACCCTAGAAGAAAACCTAGGTAATACCTTTCAGGACATAGGCATGGGCAAGGACTTCATGTCTGAAACACCAAAAGCAATGGCAACAAAAGCCAAAATTGACAAATGGGATCTAATTAAACTAAAGAGCTTCTGCACAGCAAAAGAAACTACCATCAGAGTGAACAGACAACCTACAGAATGGGAGAAAATTTTTGCAATCTACTCATCTGACAAACGGCTAATACCCAGAACCTACAAAGAACTCAAACAAATTTACAAGAAAAAAAACAACCCCATCAAAAAGTGGGCAAAGGATATGAACAGACATTTCTCAAAAGAAGACATTCATACAACCAACAGACACATGAAAAAAATGCTCGTCATCACTGGCCATCAGAGAAATGAAAATCAAAACCACAATGAGACACTGTCTCACACCAGTTAGAATGGCAATCATTAAAAAGTCAGGAAACAACAGGTACTGGAGAGGATGTAGAGAAATAGGAACACTTTTACACTGTTGGTGAGATTGTAAACTAATTCAACCATTATGGAAAACAGTATGGCGATTCCTCAAGGATCTAGAACTAGAAGTACCATATGACCCAGCCATCCCATTACTGGGTATATACCCAAAGGATTATAAATCATGCTGCTATAAAGACACATGCACACGTATGTTCATTGTGGCACTTTTCACAATAGCAAAGACTTGGAATCAACCCAAATGTCCATCAGTGACAGACTGGATTAAGAAAATGTGGCACATATACACCATGGAATACTATGCAGCCATAAAAAAGGATGAGTTTGTGTCCTTTGTAGGGACATGGATGCAGCTGGAAACCATCATTCTTAGCAAACTATCACAAGAACAGAAAACCAAACACCGCATGTTCTCACTCATAGGCGGGAGCTGAACAATGAGATCACTTGGCAGCACACCAACATGGCACAAGTATACATATGTAACAAACCTGCACATTATGCACATGTACCCTAGAACTTAAAGTATAATTATAAAACAAAAAACAAAAAAAACTTTCCTGACAAAAACAGTTGACAGGCCAGATACAGCCCACAGACTGTAGTTTTCTTATATCCACTTGTGATGGTTAATATTGAGTATCAACTTGATTGGATTGAAGGATGCAAAGTATTGATCCTGGGCGTGTCTGTGAGGGTGTTGCCAAAGGAGATTAACATTTGAGTCAGTGAACTGGGAGAGGCAGACTCACCCTCAGTCCGGCTGGGCACCATCTAATCAGCTGCCAGCACAGCTAGAATAAAGCAGGCAGAAAAGGGTAGAAAGAGCAGACTTGCTGAGTCTTCTTGTCTCCATCTTTGTCCCATGCTGGATGCTTCCTGCCCTCGAACATCGGACTCCAAGTTCTTCAGCTTTTGAACTCTTGGACCCTATACCAGTGCCAGGGGCTCTCAGGCCTTTGGACGCAGACTGAAGGCTGCACTATCAGCCTCCCTACTTTTGAGGTTTTCGCACTCAAGCTGGCTTCCTTGCTCCTCAGCTTGCAGATGGCGCATTGTGGGACTTCACTTTGTAATCATGTGTCAATACTCCTTTATAAGCTCCCCTTCATATATACACCTATCCTATTAGTTCTATCCCTCTAGAGAACTCTGACTAATACACTGCTCTAAAGGCCTTTGCACTGGCTATTTCCTCTGCCTGAATCACTCTTCCCTCAAGAATTCACACAGCTTACTCACTCACTTCCACAAATCCTTGTTTAAATTATCTCCTTTCCAATGAAACCTACCCTAACTACTCCACTTAAAATTGCAATCTGCAGCCCTGCACCCCGTCGCAAGGCTGAGAAACAACCTCACAGGCCACTCCCAATGGAAATGCTTCCAGGCCAGCTGAGCAACTGTGCATCCACGCTCCTGGCCAGAGTAATAACCCCAGGACCCCAACCCCAGACATCCAGACCCCAAGTCAGCTGACCCACCATGTGCACCTGTCCTGAGAAACCTGGCAAGTCCATCAGCAGCAGAGCCACATGCCTGCTGCCACAAGCCCTTGCAGCCCAGGCCACTGAGAAACTCCCATATATCATTAGTGTGAATTATAGCTAAAAAACTGATATACAGACTATACTATTGCATCTACCTAGAACCAGAGGCAATGCACCCCATTTAACTGACACCACCAAGTCCCATCCACATGAATAAGTGTTTCTCTACAAAACCTACTCCATAAAATTGGAAGACGTGACTATTTCACCAGATGCATTGAAATCAAACTAGAAACACATAAACATGAAAAAGCCAGGAAACATGATGCCTCCAAAAGAACACAGTAATTCTCCAGTAACAGTCCCCAATGATAAAGAAACATACAAAATGCCAGAAAAGTAGTTCAAAATAATAATCTTAAGGAAACTCAGTGAGATCCAAATGAATACAGATAGACAATTCGACGAAATAAAATTGCAACCCTCTACTTCTCTTGCTTTATTTTTGTTCATAACAGTTAACTCATTTTAATGTATTACATTATGTTCATTGGAGCCCATCTCTCCCAACCAGAATGTAATCTCCATGGCCAACACTTAGAGCAGTGCCTGGCATGTAATAGATACTCAAGAAATATTTGATGAACCAAAAGATAATTTGTTCACATTTGCTCCAAAAACAATTAACAACACTAATTTTGTTTAAGGATGTGACTCCTGGCCAGACGTGGTGGTTCATGCCCATAATCCCAGCACTTTGGGAGGCTGAGGTGAGCGGATCACCTGAGGTCAGGAGTTCGAGACTGGCCTGGTTAACATGTTGAAACCCCATCTCTACTAAAAAATACAAAATTAGTTGGGCATGGTGGCACATGCCTGTAACCCCAGCTGCTTGGGAGGCTGAGGCAAGAGAATCACTTGAACCCGGGAGGCTGAGGTTGCAGTGAGCCAGGATCATGCCACTGTACTCCAGCCAGGCTTGCATATAATTTTAAAAGTTTTATAAATCTCTTTGCTTTACTCATGAAAGTAATAGAAGTGTCATTTTTTAAATCAGTGATAATATCAATGAATATATTGCCCATTGTAGCCCCCAAAACTATGTATCATTTTATTTAAACCTTACAATATTCTTATTACACAGACAATATTATCACCACTTCATAGATGACAAAACTAATTCTAAGAAATGTCAATAACTTGCTCATAGTCACAAGGTAGTAACAGAATGGCCTAGGATCCATGTATCTTGATTTTAAAGCCAGTTTTCTTTTCCTGACAATGCAACTGTCAGCCAACTTTGCCTCATTCCAAGCCTCTTGATGACTCCTTTCTCCATAGCTGAATTAGCTTCAGCAACGTCTCAATTCCTAGGACAAATCTGACTTCAGGTTAAAAGGATTTAATAAGCTTTGACCCAAATTTGTAGAGGTCAACATCATTCACTTTGCATTCAAGACACTTACTTATTTTCCTCAGTTTTGATAACTTGACTTCTTATTTGGCTCAACTACTAGATTCCCACTTCTAATTACTGGTTCTGAATACCTTATAAACTCCTGTACACTCAGTTCCTTGCCTTTGTCTGGAGACAGTACTGGCTCTTAATAGTCTCTCCAAAGATCTACATTCCCACCCACAGGCTGAGGCTCTGCTTTCTGATAACCAATTTCCTAAGTGCTGACTGTTTCCTACACCAGATTTCCAAATATCACTCACTCTAACCTTATGCTCTGTTCATGAGCAGGACAATCTCAGTTCTTTGGAGAACCTTTCCCCCAACTATATTTACCAATTCCTTTCCTGTATTTCTTCTGTATACAGTCTGTAGCCTCTATCATCTTGATATCATGCTCTCTTTTTGTTCAAGTTTAGGTGCCTCCAAAGTACCTCTACCAAAACAGAATTTGGCATATGAGGCATAAAAGCCATATTCTGCTTTCTGCTGAGGAGTATTAGCTAAAATGTGGCCAAAGGTTCTTTTATGGTTAAGTGCTTTTCTGTGAGGTAAGACTCCCAAGTGGGAATAATGCTGAACATGCTTCCTGCCACACTGTCTCCTGACTTATTACTAAAGAAGACAAGTTCAACATATTTTGATAGCAATGACGATTGAGTGAAACAGTAAAGCTGAGCTGTAACATGGAGGAAGAAATAATGAGGCTTGATAAAAAACTGGAGAAGTCAGAAAAAAATTAACAGAAAATTAGAATGGTTCTATAAAATCTCCAGCCTATGTGATTAGAGGAATAGTGGTTCCCCTGCATAGAGAAAAGTAGTTGGAAAGTAGAATCAATGTTGGAGTGAAGATAAATTCACTTAACAGATGGAGATTATGTTAGAATATAAATATATACATATATCAAATTGAATGTAAAGATTAGTGTCTTCCACCACATAGCATTCTAGAATTTCAAAACTTGTTTTCGCATTTATTTAGTGTCACACAATGCAATCTGAGATGAATAAATTTCAACATATTTATCCTTTGACAAGTGAAATTGAGGCCTAAAGAAGGAAATAACTAAAATTCCACAGACCTTGTGGATGAACCCAATACTTGGGACACCTTATGCTTTCTATTTGATCGTTTGGCCTTTCAGGTCAACTATAACAATTGATAACTTTATCTGAATATAATTCAGCCAAAGTCGTTTAGTCAATAAAATATAGAGGGAATTGGACCAAGTGGCTTGTTAAGAGCAAAACTGATAGTTTATAATAAAATCCAAGGGTTGTAAACTCAAAGTTTAAAAGCTCTGATATTTTCTTTTATGAACGAGAGAATAAAATAGATGGGATAAAATACATAGTAAAAATATTCCAGGGGTAATTTGGCCAATCTATCCTTCTCCAAACATCCACAAATTTCTATTAACTTTATTAAACTCCATGACCAAAAAGCCAGACTCTGTACTTTCCCATCACAAACAACCAAAAAATTCATTTTACATGATTATTTTATTTTGGATGTCAGTGATATGAATTATTATTTTTAAAATGGTCCAGTTAGTTACATTTTAAGCCAATATTTGCTTGTACTTTTGTTTAATTTCCAAAACAACGAAAGTATTTTGCCCTCTGGAATGTTTCTAATAAAGATAATGGTATTTTAGAAATAAATCAATGCTTGGTACTTACATAAAAGTTTTCACCTGAGAAGTGCAGCATGTCTTGGTGTTACATTTTTATTTCACTGACCTCTGCTTATTTTGGCTAATGGGAGACACTGTTCTCACTTTACCATAAGAGAAACTAAAGTCCAGGACCTGTGTAATGAAACAATGAATTAATGACAGTTTTTGGAAGAGGAATCAATACGTTTGATTTCCAAGGTTTAAACAGATTTGTGATGCCAGGATATAATCCCTGTTCAACAAGAAAGGTTGCCTTCCCACCCCAGGGGCCAAAGACACAGGAGAAGTTGGCATTCTAATGACATTTTCTTAAGAAGTGTTTCTTTTACATTATATGATCCCAAGTGTTTACAACTCCAAAGAAAATAATTTCAAGGTACTTAGGATAAGGAAGAAACTCCCATGGCTTGGAAAAGTTTTCACAAAAATTATTTTCTAACCAGAATTTAGTAGATGTTCACTGACAATAATTTTCTGTTTTCACCAGAGTTTAAGATTAGGAGAATGCTACCACAGATAGAAAAAGAAGAAAGGGTTAGTTTGGGGAGAAAGATAATAAACCTTGATTTGAACAAAGCCCCTCCTGATCAAGCCCTCTTTATTCCATTTGAAGTCTCTTCAAAAATCTTTTTTTCCTCTATCATCTTCCTTACCCTTTCTGAAAATAAGGAGTTCAAGGATATTTGATGAACTGAGCAAGGTAGGTGTCCATGCCAGAGAGTGGGGAGCAAAGTGGACCTGAGTGTGCAAAAAGGGCATCCATGCAGGGTGTCAACCCATTAGGAGCTATGAGATCCCAAGCAGGATCAAAAGAGCGTCTGTGTAGCTGCAGGGAGCCAGGCTGACCTAGGTTCTCAGGTTCCAAGTTGGGATTAAAGGGGCTATTTGTGCAGAATATCAGAGCTTGAGAGAAGTGACAAGGGTGTCCATGTGGGGATTGACCCAGAACGAGGTGTCAGAGCCCAAGCAAGGTGAGAAGGTCATCTTGGCTGGAAGACAGACTAGCTCAGGTTATCATCAAACAGCATGAGGAGGGTTTCCAGGCTGGGGTCCCTCAGCATGGGGTGTAAAGCTTGGGCAGAGAGAGAAGGGTGTCTATGCAGAACAGGGGATATCAGAGCCCAGCATATAGGTGAGCCCAGCACAAGGGTGAGGAAGTCAGGCATATCTGGGTTGGGGCATCATTGGTGACAGTGCCAATAAGAGATTGCACACCTAGGAGATTTCACACACACACACACACACACACACACACACACACACACATACTTTGAAGAGGGAGCCAGGTTTCTCATTGTCAAAAAAGGGAAGGACAAATGTGGAAAGAAAACTAGAATAAAGTCCTGTGTCATTGGATTAGAACTGAAGATGATAGATGGGTAAATAGATACATTAATAAAACATTTTACTTGGCATTTTATAAGCTTCCAGTAATTTGTGTTCCCAAATTCATGTAGACTTTTTTGATCACTGAATGTTTAGGTTATGAGAACAATGTGCTTAGTAAAGAGAGTATGGTTTTTAGATTCAGGCTCAAGTAATATCCTGGGTTCAAAATTTATCTCAACCTTTGGGTGATTTTATATAACCATGGTGAAACCTGTGGGACAGAAAATAAACAAACTGCAAAATATCTTTAAGTTTTTCTAAGACAGTAGTTCTCAGCCAAGGGTGATTTTGCCAGTACTGTGATCTCAGGGACATTTGACAGTGTCTAGAGATATTTTGTTTGCTGCGACCAGGGGTTGCTAATGGTATCCAGTGGGTGAAGGTGAGGGATGCTGCTTAACATCTTGCAGTGTACAGGACAGCCCCTGCAACAAAGAATTATTGTTACAGGCTGAATTGCATCCCCTCAAAATTCATGTGTTGAAGCCAAAACTTTAGTACCTCAGAATGTGACTGTATTTGGAAATAGAGCCTTTGGAAAATGGTTAAGTTAAAATGAGGTCATTTGGGAGAGAGGGTCCTAATCCAATCCCATTGATGTCCTTATAAGAAGAAGAAATTTGCACACAGAGACACCAGAAATGTGCTTGCATAGAGGAAAGACATGTGAGGACACAATGAGAAGGTGACTACCTGCAAACCAAGAAGAGAGGCCTCAGAAGAAACCAAACCTGTGGACACCTTTAAATCTCTAGAACTCTTAGAAAATCTATTCCTGTCGTTTAAGCCACCCAGTCTGTGATATTTGGTAATGGCAACCCTAGCAAACTAATAGAATTATTCAGCCCAAAATGCCAAAGCGCCGAGGTTGAGAAACTCTGGTTTAATATATACAGAAATAGTCTTGACAAGAACATTCATGTGGGGATGATATAGTTTAAATATGTGTCCCAGCCCAAATCTCATGTGGAATTGTAATCCCCAGTGTTGGAGGTGGGGCCCAGTGGGAGGTGACTGGACCATGGGGGCTGTTTCTCCTGAAGGGTTTAACACCATCTACTGGTGCTGTCCTCACAATAGTGAGTGAGTTCTCCCAAAATCTGGTCATTGACTAGTGGGTAGCACCTCCCCTGCTTGCTTTCTTGCTCCTGCTTTCGCCATATGATGTGTCTGCTCTCCCTTCACCTTCTGCCATGACTGTAAGTTTTCTGAGGCCTCCCCAGAAGCCAAGCAGATCCAGTACCTTGCTTCCTGTACAGCCTATGGAACCATGATTCAATTAAACCTCTTTTCTGTATTATTACCCCACATTAGGCATTTCTTTATAGCAATAAGAGAACCGACTAATACAGTGGGAAAGACAATCTGGCTAATATTCATCATTAAAATGGCAAACAGAAGGAAAGAGATAAAACAATTTTGCCTCCACAAAAAAATTAGAAAAAGAAATAGTGAAAAAAAATCATTCCCCAGGACTTTATGTGAAGGATGGGCCAGTGCAGTTAACATTCTCTTTTTAGACTGTAAAATTATTAAAATGGCAATTAAAAATATATAATCAGTCTGATTTCATGGTAAGTACATTTTTACTTATTTGACTTTTTTACAATAAAACTAAATTTGAAACACTCAAGAATTTGATTCCTACATGCATTTTCTCAAAATATTTTCACCCAAAAGATAAGGAAACCCAATCTTGGCTTAATTCCAAAGTTACTTTCCCTTGATTCATAAAGAAGAATATATTCCTTGATACCACATATTTATTAGAGCTTTCATAAAAGTTCAAATGCGTGATACAATCTAATTTCTTCTTTGACAGCACAAAAGTAAACCCTCGAAATATTATAAATAAATACCCAAAAGCTAAAACTATAAAATGTCTAGAAAAACATATAGAAAAAGTCACTGTGACTTTCAGTTAGGCAAAAATTCTTACTCAGACACAAAAAGCACCACTTTTATAAGTGGTGTTTATAAGAAAGCAATGATTAGCTCAACTCCGAGAAATTTTCATATTTTTGTTTTCTGAAAGACTATATTGAGAAAATTGAAAGATGAGACACTTGAGATCGGGAGAAAATATTCTTAATACATATGTCTGACAAAGGACTTGCATCCAGAACATAAAGACACCCTTATAATTCAATAAGGAAAAGCAAACAGCTTCACTAACATGTCCAAAATGTTTGAACACAACAAAGAAGATGTATTAATGATAAACACATAAAAAATTATCCCCATCATTAGTTATCAACACAACAAAAATTAAAACTATAGCAAGACACCACTACATACCCATTCAAATAGTTAAAATTTAAAAGGCTGATATTACTGGCTGGGTGCAGTGGCTTACGCCTGTAATCTCAGCATTTTGGGAGGCCAAGGCAGGTAGATCACTTGAGGTCGGGAGTTTGAGACCACCCTGGCCAACATGATGAAACTCCATCTCTACAAAAAAACAAAAAAAATTAGCCGGGCATGATGGTTCACCCCTGTAATCCCAGCTACTCAGGAGGCTGAAACAGGAGAATTGCTTGAACCCAGGAAGCAGAGGTTGCAGTGAGCCAAGATCGTGCCATTGCATTCCAGCCTGGGTGACAGAACAAGACTTCATCTCAAAAACAAACAAACAAAGACTGATATTGCCAAGTCTCACTGAGTGTGAAGAAACTGAAATTCATACATTGCTGGTAGATGAATAAACTGATAATGCCATTTTGGAGAAGAGTATGGTACTTTCTCATGAAGTTAACACCTCATACGACCAGTACTTCCACTTTTCGGTATTTAGCCAAGAGAAATGAAAACACAGGCCCACAAAAACACTTGTATATATGTATTTCTGGCCACTTCACTTAAGATAGCAAAATCTTGACACAACCCAAAACTTTGTCAACAGAAAACGACACAAACACACATAGTTTATTCATACAATTAAATAAGATTCAGCCATAAGAAGGAATTATCTACTGATTAGTGCAATAACATGAATAAATCTCAGTGACATTATGCTGAGCCAAGAAGGCCAGATACAAGCGTATATACCATATGATTCTGTTATTATAAAACTTTAAAACTCATTAAACCAACTCATGTGATAGAAATCAGATCAGTATCTGCCTGAGGTCAGGTTGGAAGGAATGACTAGAAAGGAACATGAGCTTTCTGGGGTGATGGAAATGTACTCTATCTTGATTTGGGAGGTAGTTGCAAGCTTGTTTTCGTTTATCAAAACTGACTTAACTGTATACCTAAAATGGGTGAATCTTACGGTATATAAATTATACTTCAATAAATTTTATTTTAAAAATATAGAGAAGTAACTATATTTATATGTGACCACTGAAAAGACCTGCAAACAGCAACACCCCAAATCAATGAGCACACCTAGTACCCAAACTTCAGTGTTTAAATATAATTCTCATGTAAAGGAACCAGGAATTCTTAGGAAAATGGCTGGTTTCAAGGTTGAGGAAAACACAAAATGAACCTAGAATATCTTGTTGTGATAGAAACTCAAGAATTACTCAAAAAATAATGGACAGTGTCAAAAACGACAAAGAAGCCAACTCTAAGGGACTCCTGCTGGCCAACTCTGAGAGAATCTGAGTATCAAAATGTATAAGGATAGTAACAGGTTATTACCCATTAAATTAAACAGGGAACCTAAATAAGAAATAAATGAATGACTAAATTGAATGTGATGAAGAAAGAGATATTTATTTGGATTTTAAAAGTATCTTCCCTCAAAATACTTTTTAAGTACAAAGGAAAAGGATGTAATGCTAAAGTGAAGAAGCATGGCAGACACCACTTCAATCAAAGGATCAAAGTAAACATAATTAATAATGCAAAAAAATGAAACTGCCACCCAATAGGGCATATGAGGAGACTGTATCAGTTTTGTGACTTTCCTATTAAAGATACATAACCTGAATCTATTCCTAGAGATGTTACCATACGCATCATGCCAACTCTAACTTATAGAAATGCAGCAAAAATCTCAAGTGTTTCCTTCCGGGTCAGCAGATACCCTATACACGATTCATAGCATTGATAACTCTTCTCATTGTACCACTCACCCCTTCCTGCCTTAGAGATATCTCTGATCCATCACCTTAATCTATTTGCTATTATTATATTTTTAGATATACAGCACATTTTTCTAATTAGAGCACTTCTACTTCCTCAGCATTTGGATAAAAACAGATAGCAACATGAATATCTCTAGAAGATTTTATCTGGAGACAAATCTCATATCTTTTAAAATACCAGATCTCTGTCAAGGACAAAGGCTCCACGGGACAGTAGATTATAAACATCTGGCACCCAATGGCCAGTGATTCAGTTACTGGCTGACATTTCAACCCTGAACTCATCTAGCTAGTGGTGTCTAAATTATAATTTCTGCTAAGCCTATAAATAAGGAGACAGGAGGCAGCACCTGGAGACTCTGAAAGCATAAGCTGGGGTCTTTTGTCATGCTTGGTACAGCACAGAAGCTGTGTAGAAAACTTAGTCACCTGGAGGTCAGTGAAAAATGACAGTGGCAGCTGCAATCACTCAAGCACGGAGAGGAAAAAATGTTTCTTTGCTGGACTGCATGGTCGGCTGGGCACTAGCCACTTGTGACGAGAGGAGAATTCAATTCATAACCTCACTGTGTTCCTTGGGCGGCACACGCATACTTCCTGACTTCTGTAAGGGTTACTGGTAGCTCAGTTTCTCAGCTCTTTGTCCTTATTTGAGCATAGAACACTAAATCCCACTTTTAACACCACTGGTAAGAGAACATTAAATCTCCAGTCTCTGGGGCACTCAACAAGCCCGATCTCAACCTGGGAAAGAATCGTTCTCACCTGATGGCGCAAAGGCTGTCATAGAAACAAATACACCATTTGATTTTTAAACTCCAAAATATGCTTCAATTTTTGAACATTCCATCTCTGCTAATCTATTTAAGAAATGGAGTGATGGAAGTGAATACCTGAGACTGAGATGAGTCTTCTGCCCCAGAGCCAAGCTAACTCACTACTTTAGGAGCAAGGGCTCATGCTTTGTTGTAAATCTAAGAATTCCTTGCAACATTTTTCCATTGTTCATTAAATGAAATGTATACCACTTAAATATTATTCATGTGACAGAATATTTTTATCATAATTATATTTCAACTTAGGCTCATTTCAGAGCTAGAAAACTGGTTAAACAGAAACCCTAATACCTTCAGAATTATTGGGAAGAGAGCCCTGACTGTGTAGTGACGCTGCTTCATTCTCTTGTCCCCTTCTGGCGAGACTTCAAAAATGTACCTTCCATTGATCTGTTCTCCTCTCCTGATAAGTATGCATATTTAACAACTGAATTCATTATAATCAATGGCCCCTAATATACAAAGGACAGTGGAAATCTTTAAAAACAGGAAAATTGGTGAAATCACGGAAAAGGAAATATAACTGGCCAAAAACACATTAAAAGTGCTAAACCTAACTGATGATTAAGGAAATAAAAATTGAAGCAATTATATTATTAGAACGGCAAAAAAAATTATTCAGTGATAACATCCATTGGTAAAGATGTGAGAAACTAGATAGTTGATGTGAAGCTGATAAAATCTCCTTAGGGAGCAATTTGGCATTATCTTTTAAAATGTAAAACTCATATTACCTTTGAGCTAGCTCTTCCATTTTCAGAAAGTTATGTTATAAACTCTCATATACACACACTAGTATATATACACATATGTGTATATGTGTATAAATACACATGCTAATTGCCATTTTAATTTTTTAATTAAAAGCAACCTAAATGCTCACTCATAAGAAATATGTTAAATATAATATACAGGCAAATATACACACATTACAATGTATTGGCATATTTATACATTAAAAAGCTGTGACATCATGAGGACACCAAAGCAATTCTAAATGGAACTGTTTCTCAGGTACACCAAAACAATAAACATATTTTGGTAAAAATTGGAGATGTATATATATGTCTTATACAACTACATAAGCTTACATAAGCATGCAGTGTTTTTAGAAAGATCCGCAAGAAACTCTTTACAGTGGTTGGTTCTGGCAAAGAATACAAAGGGTCCAAAATGGAAGGACAACTTATTTCTGTCATCATGTACCATTTTGAACTATTTGAATTTTGTTCATGTGAGTGTATTACTTGTTCAACAAAAGAAATATGTTACATATAATATTTATATTATATATATTTATTTGACCTACAAAAATAGATGTTATATGTAACATGTTTCTAGTTTGGGAATAACCTCATTAAAGTTCTGTGAATATTCTTGTACAATTTGCTTTGTGGACATATGCACTACTTTTGGCACATCCCAAATATAATATACTCAAAACCATCTGTATTAACTTCTCCCCTTCATCTTACATCTTCAATTCATTTTCCTGTTCACCAGGATGACAAAAAATTTTTTAAAAAAATATTCAATCCTTAGGATTTTTTTGATTCTTCTCTCCTCTTCACTTTCTGTGCAAAATGACTCTTCAAAGACTCTTTCTCTTATAGTTCATATTGGCATGTGACAGACTATTCAACAATGAGTAATGTAAAACAACCACCATTTTATTTTTCTTATAATTATGTGGGTTAGGAATTACAATTGGTTCAACTAGGTAGTTTTCCCTTAGGGCCTCCAATATATTTGCAATCAAACATCAGCTCATACCTCAGTTATCTGAAGGATTAATTAACCTTGACATCCAGGACAGCTCACTTACATAGCTGGCAGCTGGTGGTGGCTGATACAGTTTGGATGTTTATCACTTCAAAAACTCATGTTAAAGGATAATCCTCCATGCTGGAGGTGGGGCCTAGTGGGAGGTGTTTGGGTCATGGAGGCAGCTCCCTCATGGCTTGGTGCTGTCCTGGTGATAGTGAGTGCATTCATGTGAGATCTGGTTGTTTAAATGTGTGTGGCATCTTCCTCCTCTCTTTCTTGCTCCTGCTCTTGCCGTGTGACACACCTGCTCCCCCTTTTCCTTCTGCCATAATTGGAAGATTCCTGAGACCCTCACAAGAAGCAGATGCTAGCACCATGCTTGTACGGCCTGAAGAACTATGAGCCAATTGAACCTCTTTTATTTACCCAGCTGTAGGTATTCCTTTATAGCAATGCAATAAGGGTCTAATACAGAAAATTGATACCAAGGAGTAAGGTCTTTCTATAAGGATACCTAAAATTGTGAAAGCAGCTTTGGAACTGGGTAACAGGCAGAGCTTAGAGGGCTCAGAAGAAGACAGGAAGATGAGGAAATGTTTAGAACTTATTTTAGAGACTGGTTAAATGGTTGTGATCAAGATGCTGATAGTGATATGGA